ACAGGGTTCACCAAAGACCATGAAAGTGCTTCATCATTACAAATTTACAATGTGATTTCTGTCCGGTTTAACCTGAGATAGCAACAAGTGCCCACAAGTTAAGCAACTACAGATCACACTTAAAATGAAATTTTTTCAACAATAAGAATTTGGAAAAAGTAAGGCCCATGGGATCGTGATATAAGAATAAAACAACAAAGCAGCCCAAGTAACAATCTAAAAAATAAGTTATCCAAAATACAAGTTCTATACTTATGTTCCAATGACAACTATCAAAACCACATGAAATCTAATGACTAAGGTGATCTTGAAAGGGAGAGGGATGTGATTTCCCTGGAATTGTTTCACCTCATCTTTAATCCATGGCAAAAGTGATAGTGAACTGCTGAGTCCTGGAGTTAGGTTAGGAATCAAGATGCACGAGGCTCCTGGGTCATTCTTTAGAGAAAGAAGGCATGTGATAGAAAATAGAAGGATCACATTTTTGTAAGATTATAGTGAACCTTGAATAATTTTTTATTTTTTGTTGTCAATCATTATCCGTTCCACTATATTTCTATATATTTTGAATGGTATTGTTGTAACAGGTTGCCACAACTAAGAGAAGCTAACGTATCATCACCTTCCCCAATTCACCCCATGTTTTTGCTTTTAAATAGGTAAATAGTTCAAGACATATGTGCTTAAATAGCATTTAAAACATTTGAATTTTAAAAATTCAACAATTTATAATTTTTATTGTCGGAATATTCAAAATATATTAGCAAACCAAAAATCCAATAAATATCAAATTTGAATTAGATAAAAAATTCTTCATATTGTAGGGATCATTTTTAGAAAATATCTGCCAAGGATGTCAACTTAAGCTGGATAACCATTTAAAAACAAGGAAAAATCCATCTCATGGATTGAATTTAAAATTAATCATCTAATTGTACTAATGTAGAAAACATGGCAGTCATCCAAATGCAAATCGATTTTTATCTTTCCCAATGTTTACTCATCTTAAAAGAACATACTCTTCTAAGATAAAGAAAGGGGCCTAAAATACAAAACAATGCAAAGTAAGTTCACCTATCTTGGCTTTGTAAATCACGACACCAATAAGAGGGCTTAGTGTTGTGATTTACACAACATTGAAATGCAAAGGGGGTTTTGGTTTTTTAATTTCATCATTTTAATAAGGACTTGTTAGCTAAACTAGGTTGGTGTTTGCTTAATGAAAAGGAGAGTTATGTTCTCAAGTACTTCATGCAAGAACTGTCTCACCAAAGGGATTTCCATGAATCTTCAAATAAGAGGATGATACAAACCCTTGAGTAAAACTCACCCTTGAAAACCAACTTATAATGAAAGGGTGCCCAAGAAACTTATATTCACAAGGTCAAGACCCTTTTATTCAGAAGTGGGATCATAACATTCAACCATGCTTAGCAGGCAATGTCCACGGCGGTCCCACTGTATCAACATTGAGCCATTTCATTTCCAGCGGGTTCACTCACCTATTAGGATTCAACAACTCAAAATAGATATCTTAATCCAGCCTATAAGTTGCCTCCTACGTGGGTCAACCAGCAAAGCCGCACCCATCCAATCTCATACTCATATAAGTGCATTTGATCCCATACTCGACATGGTGGTTGTCTCTAATACCCAATGATATGAACACCTTGGGTAGAATATAACTAATCATTGAAAGGGTGCTTAAGAGGCTTATATTCACAAGGTCAAGCCTCTTTTGTTGTGTCTTTGTGTATGTAGTAGAAGCATATCCGTGTGGTGGCGGTGCTACGAGGGGGAAGGGGAAATAGTTGCAGAAAAGGACTGTTGCAGGAACGGACTACGGGGGCAAGTTTGTGATGCTCAAAAGAATCTAGTTCGACAAGATAATGAGATTCATGACATCAATAAGGCTATAATCTGACAACTCACAATGAATGCATCAGTGGTACAAGATTTGCTTACTTAATCAAGAATGGAATTATTTTCCACAATGGGTTTGCTTGTGAACTCGGACTATGTATCTACCAGGAGTTTTCCAGATTGGAGGTAATTTCTTTCATCTTTAGATGGGGAGTTAAAGGCTACTCTTACCATTTAATGAAAGCCCATTTTCAGGATTGCAATCTGGCTAAGCATCTATGAATAATAGGTACTTCGAAAAAATAGTCGTGACTGTACCCATTGGGGAACACAGAAGCTTGCTTTTTCTCCTCTGTGCCTCGAGGGAGGGTATTTGGTGTTGCTATCTATGTTCTATAATATAGATGACCAATATGACTTAGAGGGCTGACTTCTGAGGATGGGTATGCTTATTTCAGCCTTTTTATTTGTCTTACAAGCTTCTCATACAGACTCTAACTTCTTGTATTGATCTGTTCTTTGATCTAATAAATGATGTTTTTTTATTAACAACAAATGGAAAATAATTTAAAATGCACAGATGTCAGCACAACTTTGGTTGCAATATATCAAAACAATGAAGCACAACTACACTACTTGATCATAAAAGCAAAATAGCACATTCAGGACTCAATCACTCAAAACAACACAATTGCATGCCACATGATTGTTGCAAAGACGGAAGAAAAATCAAGGTTCAATATGATGAAAATTCATCACAATTTATGAGACAAGGTTTATATGCACAAAAGCAACCCTGGTCACCGACGATCTCCCTGGAAGATATCTTAAAAAAACCACATGGATGCCATAATACGAAATATTGCTAAAATTGCCGAAAAAAATATTATAAAGATACATACCAGGAACAGTTTGTCAAGAAGTTCCCTTCACTATCATTACCCGAGCATTGTGCATCATACCTTTGCAACTCCCCCTCCTCGGAGAGAGACAATCTGATGAAAATGAGTGAGGAGTGGTTCTAGAACTCCCTAGAAGTGACCTGAGATCACACTGGAAATCGCTCCGGAAATGGCCCAAACTAATTACTGTAGTTTCTTCTGGATTATTCTACCAAATAGTTTCTTCAGCTACTCAACCATGTGTCTAATTCAACCAAGTACCGTACACAATGGCTGTAAATATATGTTACTGAACCACCCCCTATTTCAATTCTACCTAAAGTGTGTTTGGATTTTTATTTTGTAAAGTCCATTTATAAAGAAGGCAAAAAAGAAATGGAGTTTTTTTAACAATACCTTATATTTTATTCACAAATTTCTTCTTTTTTACTTTCCCCTCACAAATTCTTACATTGAGAAAGGGAAAGGAAAATAAATAAATAAATAAATAAATGAAAAAAGAAATTAAATAACTTTATCAAGCAAAATCAAATATTTATGTAGATAAGTAGCCGACAGACTGCAGCCCTTCCGTTGTAATATAATTTACTAAGCTACTAACATTTTATTTTATAAAAAAAAAAAAAAAAGAAGAACAAGCAGCCGATGAGCAGAGGCAAGATTGTGGTAGGGCTTCTTTTAACTACATTTTTACAGTTTGCTGACTCCTCTTCCTCACACTATCATTTAAGAATTAGACAAATATCATATTCCCATGGATCATGAACCAAATTTTGAGCAATTCTGCAGAGTTGGAAATTGTGTAGTTAAAGAAAAATTCTCAACAGCTTAAATGGCTGAAATTCTAATTTTGTTTATTTATTTATTTGCCAAGAAGATTAATTACAAATATGTGAAAAATTACATCAAACTAGAAAATTATAATTTAGCAACACATGGCTAAAAGCCTACCAACCAACACAAGAAGAAATAAACTCTTCAATACAGCCACCATAATGAGAGAAAAACAATCAATGTACAGTTGCAAACTGAATTAACCCAATTGATTTCTAATTTTCCTTTAAGATGACTGAGAGAGTGAGAGAAGAGGAGAGGATCTAGATCCTTCTCTATTTTGTACTGTAAATGGAGAGAGATAAATCGATAGATCATGGCTACTCATTTCAAAATATGCAGCCATGATTTTACCACTTCCCTAAAAGCATGGTTGAAATCCAAATAAAGGTAGATGGAACAATCAGAAGGTTTGTTCCGTTGTCAGAGGAAACTAATGCAAGGAAAATCATTCTATTTGGGAACAGGAATTGGATGGACATCAGAGGGAGCTGTCTGGGCAGCTAGATCCCAGTGCAAAGTTTAATGCAAAGTTTAGAGGATAAGGAAAATGGAATAGATAGAAAAAGAACATAGATTTTGGTTCTTTTGTTTGATTGGATTAGAGAAATGAGAAGACAAATTGAATATATATTTATAATAAATAAATAAAAAGGCAATTTTTTATTTGTGAAGTGCTAGAGACATTGATTCACAAATTCACCCATAATGACATGGCAAGGGAGTTGATCTATATCATTGGATGTGAAACAAATCAAATGTGGACAACTATCGTACCACATCATTGTGGGTCAAATTGTGAGAGCTTTTTGGGAATCTCAAACATTTTCCTTTTTATTTAGTTACCCATAAAAGATGAATATATTATATTTTTAACTAATTTCATTTTCCTTTCTTACTCTATTTTCCCGAAAAATCCAATATCCTAAATCCAAACAGAGCATGAAGTGAAGGGTTTTTTTTATTAGAAGCCATGCCCCTTCCTAATAGTAGCTATAACTATAATTCTTGACAATAGTCACTGATCCTAATTATGCATATATACCCTATTACACCCCCTTCCAAGATGAAGGTTCTGAAGTCACAATATGTTAAAAAACTAATTTAGTTCTTCCACTACACTGAATTAGGGGGATATGTTCTATGATCGACTTTGATAGATCTAATTGCAACATTAGGCATTACAGAGCATAAGAAAGTGTCAACTCTCATATAGAACTAATCAGCAAAACTAACAAAACTATAGTATTTCATACAAAGTGATCCCAACACATCAAAGAACAAAATATATGACCTGACCATCCCAACTCAAAAGATCAAGCATTTCAATTCAAAGCATCAGATAGAGAGAGCAAGATCACTGAACAGAGCAAAATCTCTGAACTTCAACCCCCCAAAAAATGCCAAAATTTCTTTAAAAAAAAATAAAAATACACAAATGGAGAGAGAAATATGAACATTGTGAAAACAAGCTTAAACCAAACAAACAAACAGATAAATTTTCCACAAGGTCTCATAGATACTCCAGATCAAATCTACCAAGATCAATTAAACCACAACAAAAACAAAGAAAACAAGTGTTCGTTTCGTTTTTTTTTTAATTTATTTATTATCATCACTACTTATCTTTAGTAGAGACGCCATACTTTTCCTGCAACTTAGTAATCTCGTCCTCCTTCTTCTTCTGATCGAACTTCTTGCTCATCTTGGCCTGTTGATAGTAGAGCACGATAAGGTATCGATTGGCGACATTGAAGCCAGAGAGATGATCGACGGCGGTCTTGGCGTCGTAGATGTCCTCGTAGACGACGAAGGCGGTGCCTCTGGTGTCCTTGTTGGTGCCGATGCGAATCTGGCGAATGGCGCCGTACTTGCCGAAGATATCGTACATCTCTTCGCTGGAGATGTTGAAGGGAAGGTTTCGGACGTAGAGAACCCGGTTCACCTCCGGCGGAAGCCTAGCGTTGCCCTTCCGGAGACTGATCGTCGCCATTGTTTCTCTCTGTGTTTTGGTGTTTTTTTTTGTGAGAGAGAATTCGAGAAGAGGGGCTAGGGTTTGGGCAAGGGGTTCTTATTGCCTGTGGTTGAATCTTTTATGATTGGGTTAGACCATCTCCAACGGTGAATCAAGTTTGACATTAAATTTAAATTTTAGTGAAAAAGTATTTTTTGATGTTCCAATCGTTTTACCAAATTGATATCAAAATGAGAATTTAATAAAAAAATCATCAAACTGAGAATAAGCTGCAGATTTTAATAAATTACTGTTCCTGACCGTTGGAGGAGAGGAACCGGTTGCCCGGCCGGTTGACCAACCGGTCGACCACTAAAAGGTTCAAACAGTTCAAATGAGTTGGTTCAAACAATTCAAAAAAATTTTTTTTTTTTTACCTTATCGGTCGATCAGCCGATTGTCTACTAAAAGGTTCAAACAGTTCAAATAGATAGGTTCAAACAATTCAAAAAAAAAAATTTTTTTTTTTACCTTACCTGTCGACCGGCCGGTTGACCAACCGGTTGTCCTTGGAGCAGATTTGATAAAAATCAATCATTGGAACATTCTGTATCAGATTGAGAAAATGATCATTTTTTTACTTAGATTTGGTGAAAAATTAGGTGAACCGTTGGAGATGTTACCTGTACTTAAATCTGCTCAAATTTAAATTTGATTAAAAAAAGTAGGTAAATTACATTGACATCTATGTTTATTACATTTTTTTCTTTATCTTTTTGAAAATTACATCTTCTTTCTTGAGATTTAAAATTTCATTATAGATTGCTTCCTCTAGCAATTTAATTTTTTTAAATATCAATTTTGCCCTCACTGGGTAAATTACATTGACACCCCTTACATTTTAGAAATTACAATCTCCTTCTCAAGATTTAAAGTAGCATTACCAATTGTCTCATCGGTTAGTATTAGTTGAAAAAAATTATTTGAAAAAAAATTTTGTTAGTCAAATTTTTAAATTTCTGTTTAAAAACCAACGTAAGATAAAAATTACACTGACACCCCTTGAGGTTTATTTTTAAATTTATTTTTTATTTCTTAACCAAATTAATTTTTAATTTTTTTAAAAAAATTTTAAAAATCAAACATATATGGCCTAAGAATCTTTTGATAAGTCATTTCTTATGTTGATAACTTATTTAATTACTTGTTAATTTTACGACATTTTTATCAATTTCTAAAAATCAAACCATATATAGCCTAAGAATCTTTTGATAAGTCATTTCTTACGCTAATAACTTATTTAATTATTTGTTAATTTTACGATATTTTTACTATCTGAGACTTATTTGGTAATCATTTCGTTTTCAGTTTTCAATTTATATTTACAAAAATTTTAAAAATTGTCATAAAAATTTGTTTGATAATTTTTTTGGTTTATAAATGACTGAATCAATTTGTAAATTTGAGGAAAAAAACATAAATTCAAAAAATGAGTTTACGTTGGTTTTTAAACAGAAATTTAAAAATTTGACTAACAAAATTTTTTTTCAATTAATTTTTTTTCCAATTAATTTTTTTTCAATGAATTTTTTTTTCAACTAATACTAACCGAGGGGGCAATTGATAATGCTACTTTAAACCTTGGGAAGGGGGATTGTAATTTCTAAAATGTGAGGGATGTCAATGTAATTTACCCAGTGAGGGTAAAATTGGTATTTAAAAAAATTAAATTGTTTGAGAGAGCAATCTATAATGAAACTTTAAATCTCAGGGAGAGGGATGTAATTTCCAAAAGATGAGAGAGGAATTGTAATAAACATAAATCTCAGGGGTGTTAATATAATTTACCCAAAAAAATTGCTCAAGGCCGTTATATGTTTGTCATCCAAATATTTCTCTCAAGGAAAATGTGATGGTGAATTAACAATAGTGCAGTTGAGAACTTTAATAACCACACTCCAGTGACTGTGGTAATTTTTTTTCATGAGCTTATTGAGGGTGGAATTTCTTATAAGCTGCAGCTGGAATTAGTTGCATACTTTTGTGCATCTTGTAGATTATTTTTCTTTTCTGAGGAAATTACACTTTTCACCCTTAACCTTACTTCTGAATTTGACTTTGATACCTGATCTTATCAGACTTTAAATCTTTTTCCATTTGGTCCTTCTATCAATTATCATTAAACATATGGACGGAAAGTGACATGAACACATTTTTAAGGGCGTTAAGTTTTTTTTTTTTTTTTAATGATAAATTACACTTTTCATCCTCAAAACTTCCACCCAAATTCAACTTTTACTAAAATTTCAAACAGTGGGATGACTGGAGGACCACATTGACACACATGTTGAAGTTTGTTAACCTAATTGTTGCATTTAGAAGACGAGGGACCAAAGTGAAAGTTTGAGGGTGAAAAGTGCAATTTATCCCCTTTTTTTTCCCTTTTCTTTTTCCTACTCACGACAGCTGCCATGACTGCTGACATGGATAGGAGAAAGAAGGAAAGGGCAGGGAAGGAGAAAAAGATAGAAAATAGGAAAAAAAGAAATAGGTCATTTTAAGCATATCACAATATTTAAGATTTCACGTGCATGTCATATGACAATTTTTCATCCATTTATGTAATGGATCCTTAACAGAATGTTCACATTAATGCAAATTGATAATTCAAGGTGGCAAAGTGTAGTGTTTTTAGTTGATGGGATAAACTGATACTGAGCGATATATTCAAAAGCGTTTGCCTTTTTGTTTCATTGTATTTGCATACAAGCCTGCAGAGGTGCTGAATCTACAGTTCATAATGTCGGATACCTCAAAATCTTGCTTGGCTAATCTGCGTTCACAAAAAATACAAATTCAGCTGGTTTTGGTTCATTTTTCATGTATTATATTTATATTTCCACTTTCAACATTAAGTTCTATGGATCTTTGCAGGCCGTGGACGTGGGTGTGGGCGTGGGCGTGGGCGTGGGCGTGGATGCAGCTGGGGCCGTGGGTGTGGGTGTGGGTGTGGGTGTGGGCGTGGGGGTGGTCAGGATTTCAGATCCGATGGTCCAGTCCAGGCAGCTGCCTGACTGGCAGAAGGTACAGCTCTTAGATTGGTAGTTCTGGATGCCTGTTTTGTTGATTATGTCTTCTTCTCATGAAAAAAAGTAGTGTAATTTCATCGATAATTTTCTAGGAATATGGGTTAATAGTGAGCTGCTGCTGATTTCATGCAGAAGCCATGTTTTTTTTGTAGTTAGTAGGATTATTTTGATTTAATGATGACAAACTAAGTTGTACAATTCCTCTCTTAGGAGAAATAATAGAGCAGTACATTCTTTTATTCTTATTTCTAATAGGATTATTTTGATTTAATGATGACAAACTAAGTTGTACAGTTCCTCTCTTAGGAGAAATAATAGAGCAGTACATTCTTTTATTCTTATTCTAATTTTACCGCCTCTTTGCTGAATCAGTTGTTTCATGAAATTTTTATTGCAAAAATGTTTGGACTTTGTATTACTTGTTTTCAGCCTCCCGCTTTGTCACTGGCCCCCCTTTCTGGAAGTTGGGTGAACTACACATCGTTTAAAATGCATCATATTAGTAAATAAGTTTCACAGGACTATGCAATGGTTTCTAGGGGTGTGTGTGTGATACATGTAACTAGAAGTTTTTATGTTGTCCTATATAAAGGGTGATGGAACAATCTTCTGTGTATATAAAATAACTTGAAATAAAGTCAAACAAAATAAATAAATAACATACCGAATTTATTTTGTCGAACCAAATAAAAATTACAAGACCAAGTCGAGTGTGTGACACTCTGTCCTTAAGACAGATTCGCCCCGCTATGGTACTTACGGTTGAGTGGCGTCTATCTCCCAGGATACAATGATCTTCACAAATTGTAGTAGTACTCCAAACAATTTGTTCGGCGAACCAAACCTTATGTTCTAATACTCTCTTTAATTTATCCCAAATCTAATATGAAGAATAAATAATACGAAGGAAAAAAAAATTGGACAGAAATTAGACAATGTCTAGACTGATTTTCTCGGGGCCTTAATAACTAGAATTATGGCAGTATATATAGGCAACAACACTACCGTGAACAGGTCCAAAAACAATTGTGACACTACTACAAAAACAGGTAAAGATTACACTTTTTTTGTGTGATGTCTGTTATTTAATTACACCTTTTAAGTTTTATTAAAGTATGATCTTTAGGAGTGTGATTAAAATGGGTCATTTTTAATCACACTTTTTAACTATGATTAATAACATTTAGATCACACCTTTTAAGTGTAATTAAAAATATTTAGATCACACTTTTTAAGTGTGATTAATAGTATTTAGATTACACCTTTTAAGTGTGATTAATAACATTTAGGTGTGAAAAAAATATATATTACACTCACTAGCTTCTCATTTGTTCTTGTGAAGATTTGAACCATCAACCCTCTCACACCATAAACCTTATACAACACACTCTTTATGTACGGAACATTTCCACGCCATTTAGCCAGACAAATCAACACTAACTACACAGAACAATTTGAAAAAAATTATCAAATGACTAGGATAATCAAACATATTAACAAGAATGATTCCATTTAACATATGACCAGAAATCAAGAGGAGTACAAATAAGAAATAATTAAAATAAACACTATTTGTAAAGAGATTTAGAGGAAGCATATTATATACCTCCCAAATTATCTCAAAACAATTTCTTGATCACTTGATGTAAAATCCTCCAACGCTAATACTTTTAATCATCTGCTATATCACCATAAATATCCAAAGGTTGTAGATCGAAAAAGTATGTAAAATTTAACAAAATCTACAACTATCCTCTTACATAAAAATGCTAACTCTTTCTCTAAATACTATTAATCTAAAGTCTAAATTTTGATCATAAAGAAAAAGAGAGAGAGAGAGATACGGATGGACCAAGAAGAAGAACCATAGAAAGAAGTCGAGAGGATGAGTTCAAATTTATAGGAAAAATAAAGAGTAGCCTCTAAGTAAACTTGGAGGGAAAGAAAGATAGAGTAACCTCTAAGTAAACTTGGAGGAAAAAAAAGATAATTCTCTTGGAGGCAAAGAAAGGTTGCTTGGAGGGAAAGAAAAGAACCTT